GAATAAGGCCAGGTGTGGTGGCTCATGCCTGTAATCCCAACACTTTGGGAGGCCAAGGCAGGAAGACTGCTTGAGCCCAGGAGTTTGAGACCAGCCTGGGCAACATAGGGAGACCCTGTCTCTACACATAATTAAAAAAGACAACAACAGCTAGCCAGTGAGTTGATGTACACCTGTGGTCTCAGTTACTCAGAAGGCTGAGGTAGGAGGATCACCCAAGCCCAGGAGGTTGAGGCTAAAGTGAGCTGTGATTGTGCCACTGCACCGTAGCCTGGGTGATAGAATGAGACCCTGTCTCAAGAAAAAGAAAATCATAGATTCATAAGAAGTTGCCAAAAAGATGGTACAGAAAGGTCCCATGTACCTTTCATGCCGTTCCCCCAGTGGTAACATTTTTTACTACTGTAGAATAGTTTCACAACCAAGAAACGCATTGGTACAATCCATAGATCTCGTTCCAATTTCATCAGTATATCGGCACTCGTTTGTGTGTGTTTAGTTCTATGTGATTTTAGATGATGTAAATTCACATAACCACCATCACAGGGAAGTTTCTTTTTATAGAAGTATTCCAGCTGCCAAACAAAGAAGAAATCATTGAATTGGAATATCTCTATTTTGTAACTTCCAGTGAAATAATGGACCTAAGTGGGAAGTAACAGCCTTAATAGCTGCTAATTCCCCAGAGGGAGAGAACTCGACATCATACACCTCCTGATGAGAGAATATGCATCAAGTATTCTTACCACAGAGATCAAACCCAAATCCAAGCAAACCTCAAGAGCCAGCTAGCATGCAATTCACCACATGCACACATTCAACACCCTTCGTGATAAAAACACTCGACAAGCTAGAATAGAGGGAAACTACCTCAACATAATACAGGCCATCTAGGGTCACAGCTGACACCATAGTCAGTGGTGAATGACTGGAAGCTTACTCTCTGAGAGCAGGAACAAGGCGGGATGCCTGCATTGACCACTTCAACTCAGTGTAGTACTGGGAGTTCTAGCCAGAGCAATTAGGCAAGAATAAGAAAGGAAACATACCCCAGTTGGAAAGGAAGAAGTTAAAATTATCTCACAGATGACATCTTTTATGTAGACAACCTTAAAGATTCCACAACAAAAAAACTTCAAATAAATTCAGCAAAGTTGCAGGAAACAAAGTCAACACACAAAAGTCAGCTGCATTTCTTTCCTTTTTTCTTTTTTTTTTTTTTTTTGAGACGGAGTCTACCACTGTAGCACTGTTGCCTGGGCTGAAGTGCAGTGGCGCAATCTCTGCTCACCACAACCTCCACCTCCCAGGTTCAAGCCATTCTCTTGCCCCAGCCTCCTGAGTAGCTGGGATTACAGGTGCCCGCCACCACACTGGGCTAATTTTTTGTATTTTTA